GAAGTCCAAAGCCCTTCAGATTTAGAGGTTTAATGGGTGACATTGGCTTGAGCTGCCTGAACGTGCATGGTTCATTCATTTACTCTTTCCTTCAACAAGCGCTTATGGTGCACCTGGTAGGTGCCAATTGCTCTTACTTGCTTGAAGACGACACAGAAAGGGAGCTCCTTCCCGATGGGCAGTTTGTCGGTGCTGTGTCCGCGTCACCCGGGACACTCCCTGGTACCCTGGAGGCCGTCGATAAACATTTGTTGAATCGACGATGGTCCCAGCCCTCCTGGAGTGTATGGCGCAGGAAATTATCCTAAATTTCTTCTTGTTCATTTAGCGCCTGTATGCCAATAAGATCAGAATTAAATGAACATCAGGGTGCGTTTAAGGAGGAGATAAGAGGGGAATCGGTGGTGGCGGCAGGCAGCCTTGGGGGAGTGTGGAGGGCGGTGAGGCTCTGTCCTTCTTTCCCCACTGGTGGTATGTAAACGGGTTGACTGCAGGGCAAGAAGACCCAAGATCCCCCCTGTGATTTATGGGAAGGAGCCTCAGGACTTGGGGCCATACCATACCCAGGATCATTCCAGGTTGGCTTTGTCGTACACTGGGAGACTGTCTCCTCCCCTCTCTAAGCCCATTTATCAGTTTCTGCACATTTGAAGAGGGCTGTTCCAAAGTGGGACTCCTGGGAGCAAAGAGAGAGGCACTTGCCAAAATTTAGCGGCAATTCCCTTTTTGTTGGCTAGGCATGATTTTGAGGTGTGTTGAAATAATTGATGAGCTAAAAGTTTTAAGAGACAAGAATGTAGTCCAAGATCTTGCTGCTTCCTTAAACAATAGCCAACGTCACAAAACAGTCAGGGTTTACTCCTCACAAAGTGAGCTAGCTAGCTTCCTTCCTTCCTTCCTTCCTTCCTTCCTTCCTTCCTTCCTTCCTTCCTTCCTTCTTCTTTCTTTCCTTCTTTCCTTCCTTCCTTCCTTCTTCTTTCTTTCCTTCTTTCCTTCCTTCCTTCTTTCCTTTCCTTCCTTCCTTCCTTCCTTCCTTCCTTCCTTCCTTCCTTCCTTCCTTCCTTCCTTCCTTCCTTCCTCCTTCCATTCCTTCCTTCCTCCACCCCTTTCTCTCTCTCTCTCTTCCCCTGAATCTTCGACTTCTCGTGGACATGGTCTGCTTGCCACAGGGCATCTGTTTTAAAGGGGAAGAGGCATTCTAGGATTTTATAACCTTCCTGGGAGATAATTGGCAGCGCTGGTGACCAGACATAAACCTGTTACTTCATTAGAGGCAGATTCAAAGGACAGGCCTTTCTCTGTTCTTTAGTAACATTATTAACCAGGAAGCTGCCGTATCTTGGGGACAAAGGTCGTTCATTACTACTTTAAGCACTGTATATTTCACGTGAAATATATCTTTCTGGAGAGATGCACACAGGCTCTGGTGACTTCACTTGATCAGAATAGTTTATATTCAATTTATTTCTTTTTTTCCTGAGAGAGAGACAAGAAAGCATTAAATGATGACGGTCAGAAGGCTTTTTGCTTATAATGGGGAATTTGACCAAGGGTCCCCTGGAACATAGTTGCTTAAATGTGCATTTCTCCAGGAAGTCTCTAACAGCTAGAGAGGGTTTGGGGACCAGTGTTTAGATTTCAATCATTCCTGCTACTCCACTTGTCCATTATGACAGTCATCGAGGATTAACATTCTTGGGCTCGCAGGAATGCTCAATTGGGGGCTCTCCTAGGAACAAGTCTATTAATATCACTTTCATCTTCCTAGGTGCAAATTCAGGAAACAGTCAGGGAGGGAGACTTTCTCAGCCAGTTGCCAGCGTTCTCAGATCCTGCTGGGGAGCAGTCTGCATTTGCTGGGACCACAACAAATTCCTTCCCCAATGTAGGAGGGATCGACGAGGAGGACACATCATTGGCCCAACACCTGGAGCTAGGAAGCTGTACTCGATGCCCACAGCATGGAGAAAAGCAGTACAGAAAAGACCACTCACTTGGAGGTTCCTGGGTAGACCTAGGATATGAGCTGAGCATCCCAGATGCCAATAATGAAAATACATCCCCCTGGGAGCTGTCAGTGCTTCTCCCCCAGGAGGGCAGGGCTGACCCCTGGGAGCCCAAGGCTCTCTCTGTTGCTTCCCCTGACCCCACAAATACCAGCTGCACCCTGGAAACCTTATACGATGGGCCAAGGGGCAGGGAGGCAGCGAGCGTGTTGGAGCGTCTTGAAGCGCGTGACCAAGGAGCCTGTGAAAAGACGGATTCTCCTGGTGGAGCCTCAGCTGATAAATATTCGCCTCAGGAAATTTGCTCCATGGACTTAGAGCTGGCGGAGAGTCAAAGCAAAGTATCTGATTCCTGTTCTCATGATAACGAGATGCCAGGCATTCTCTCTCAAACACGAGGCTCTGAGCTTCCACAGTCTCCATGCAAGAGCAGCAAGGAAAGAAACTCTGCCATGCCCCCTCTTTTCACCAGTACTTTTACCTGGAACATGTCACAAAAAGCCAGGGAAGGTGGCACAGGGGAAAATTTAGCAGAGGTGGAGAATGTCACCTCCACCGTGGTCTCCTTAGTACAGACTGGCCGGGAGAGGCCAAGCCCCAGCAACTCGGGAGGGTTTGAGGAAAGACAGCGTCTGTGTTCTGAGAACACGTCTTCAGTGCAGTTTCCAGAAGGCAGTGACGAGTGTCCCAGAACCAGTGCCCCAGACACTGCAGACAAGCCAGCCAGAAATGGTTCGGCTGTAATGCTTCCTCAGGAGAAGCCAATGACTTTAACTGCTAATCTTGAGTGTCTTCAGGTGACCAGGGAGAGTGGGGACACATCGACGGTCACCTTGGCCACCAAAGTCCACCCAGCCAAATACCTCCCTGTTTCAGTTGCTGAGAACAGTCATGCAGATAGTCCCAAGGAGAGTTCACCTCAGGCACCGGATGAAAATATTTGCCAGCTTCCTTCCAGTGCACAGTTGGGTCATATTTTAAATGATTCCACAACCACATCTTTAGAAGAGCCCTTTTGCAAGGCTCCCAGTGGACCAGGGGTCCACGTCCATGTACCTCAGCTCCCAGAAGTAGAGGGTTTCTGCTGCAGTTCCCCTCTTCAGACTGATAACCATTCTGGAAATAAGAGCCTGACAGTGGACAGAGCAGACAGTAGGAGCCGTGAAGAGAATTTCCAAGACAAGGAAAGTGAAACAACACAGAGGATCCAGCAGGAGAGCTTACCCCAACAGAGTTCTCCTCCTGAAGATGATTTCCGAGAAAGTTGGCCCACGACACCTGTTGCCCAAGGGGAAATAGACCCAGTGTCCTTGGACCGCTTATCAGCAAACTCCAGGGAGGAGAGAGGACAGAGCTCAGGCCTGGGGACTAGCGTGTGCAAGGTGGCTGAAGGCCCTGTGGAAGATAGGGGTCAGGCTCCAAGCCACATCCCACCTCTCTCTAATATCCCCCTGGAAGAGTCAGGAGGAAGCGGGCCAGGACTCTGGAAAGCAGACAGCAAGCTGAAGGTTATACCTCTGGAAGCTTCCATTCCAGAAGTCTGGCCACTAACACAACCGACAGGTTCCGAGTACGAGGAGTTGGAAGCTGGTCCCATAATTCCTGACAGGGTCTGGGCTGTATCGGACGTTCTCAAGGCTCACAGCCCTCAGGCTGAGTCTGGCTCAGTCCTTGCTAATAACAGAGAAACCCATGAAAATGGAAAACCAGCCAGCCTTGCATATTGGAGTAGTCTTTCTTCCGAGTATTTGAGCCAACCCAGACTCCTAGAGTCATCTGCGGATCCTTTAGACAAAAAGGAATTATATGTCACAGATTTGCTATCAGAGACTTGCAAAACCGGAAAGAGGGAAAATATTAACAGTGTGAGTCAAAACCGAGAGAAAAACCGAATCCAGGCAGATCACACTGCCTTCTTTAAACGGTTTCTGACCAGCCCTAAAATTGTAGAGTCCTCTGTGGATCCCACGGATGAAGCAGATGTGATGGTGTGCGCCTGGGCTGAGACAGCAGGGCCTTCGGCATCCACGCCAGCTGTCATCAGAGAGGAGAGGAAACGGAATGATGGGCCCATGGGCCAGAGACCAGAAGTCCAGCCTGCCTTCTTGCAAGTCCCAAGTCCTGACGAAGGTGAGGGAACACTTCCACGCGGACGTGGAATCAGCCAAATACAAGAGGGCATCATGAGAAGCTCAGGGGAGGCTGAACGAAGTAAAAACAACAAAGCAGAATCTGTTTTCCCCACTTTACCTCTTTCTGATGGCCCTGCAGTGGTGACTCATGCGTCTGTTGGAGTTGATATTCACAATTCCTCGGGTCAAATTCATGACGTCCCTGAGAAGGGTTTAGTGGAGCCCAGAAACCACCGATACGCATTTTCTGACTCAAAGGAGAGAGGAGCCGTTGAGAGTGAGTGTGGGAAACATTCACCCTCTCCCAGTGGGCTCACTCGGTTGCCTTTTATTTCATGTCCCGAAGGAAACATCACAAACTTTTCAAAAAGCCACAAAAACCAGGCACCTACAATGGAGGAGCCCCACACTGGGGAAACCAAACCCGCCGGTGCATCGGGCTCCCCAGCCGTGACCTTGGCATCCATTGCAGGTGAATGTGTATCAGAGAAGGCTCCTGAGACACTGAAGTCCCCATGTCAACAGGGCTCCAATCTGGGCTATGGGGGAAAACCAAGGGAGGAGAAGCTCAGGCACACAGCCGCCCTGACCCTCAGCTTCCCAAAGTCCTCTCCAGCAGCCAGTGGCTTCGGGGAGGTCAAGAAGCAAGAAACCTCAGGGAGTGGACATTTAGCTGAGGGGGTGAAGAAGAAAATTCTGTCCAGGGTGGCCACCCTGAGGCTGCGATTGGAAGAGAAGGAGAATGTCAGAAAGAGTTCAACCTTTCTCAAGAGGATTCCTGAACTTGAAACATCGGCATCAGGTGCAGAGGAGAAACAAGACGCAAAAAAGCCTCCTTGCAAAAGAGAAGGGAAAGGTGAGGCTCTGTCGCTCTCTGTCGTTGTTAACGTTGGGGTTTGCGAACCAGATGTCCAGTTTCTGCGTGCAGATTGCCAGGCTCTACCTCCAGAGTTTCTGATTCAAGTTTCGGGCTGCAGAAAGTGGTTTCTAACAGGTCCCCAAGTGGTCTCGAGAGAGAACCACTATAAGAGGCTGCCTGGAGGTAGGTTTAATCGAGGGAGTGTGATTAAAATGACTTTCTGTTTAATTATCCTTTAAAAAATATTTTAAAAGATAAACAGAAGCATTCATCAGTGTAGCTAATTAGTATAATTAAATAGACCACACACGAAGCAGGATTTACAGAAATAAACATTTAGGTACAATCTGGGAGTCTCCTCTTTAATTGGTGATTTTCATTAAAAACGGCTTAATTGAATCCTGGGTTTTCTTCCAAATGGGAGCATAAAATTTCTTTCCAACTCACACTCCTCTTTGTCTGAGTCTAAAGTGCCCTGGGGGCTCCGTTCCAGGTTTCAGACCACTTGAGGCTCAGGGACCTTGTAAGTGCAGTCACCTCTGCTTTGCTGGGGGTGTCACCTCAACCCCAAACTCCATCCCTGAACTGAATTTTAGCCTCGTTTATTTCAGAGCTCTTCTTTCCCTTCCCATGGGCGGGACGAGTCAGAAGAGAAGACGCCACAGCCAAGTGATGCCATCTGCACATGCAGGAGCCCGACGCTGGGGGCCCCCTTAACCCGAAGTGGGGGCTTTGTTCCTCCTGCCCAAGTTTTCAGACTTCCACACTGATGCTCGTTATTCCCGTGCACAGCACATGGCCCTCAGCCCCTGCTGCAGACAGGATTCAATGCAAAACTCCCTCCGAAAGTTTGGGGGCATCCAACCAGGATTCTAGGATATATGTTTTAAAACATTTAAAGTTGGGGCACCTGGGTGGCTCAGTCTGTTAAGTGTCTGCCTTCAGCTCAGGTCATGATCCTGGGGTCCTGGGATCCAGTCCCAAGTTGGTCTCCCTGCTCAGCGGGGAGTCTGCCCCTCCCTGTCTTCCTCTCCCTCAATTTGTGGCTCTTCTCTCTCTCTCAAATAAATAAAATCGAAAAAAAAAACCCAAAACCAAGAACCCACATATTTAAAGAGGATGAAGTAGTATTTTAAAAGATCTCTAAAGTGATTTCAGCCCAAAGGGAAATGTCTATTCGGAATCCTTATCGGTGGTTATTCAAGTTACCGTAGGAACAAGGACCATGCAGGTAAGCACAGGCTGGTGGAGTTTGCACTGGGTGTCTGGTGTCTGGGTCTGGGTGTGAGCACAGCGTTCTGCGGGGGTGGGGTGGGGGGGGTTTGCTCTCTCACCAGAGACCCCTTGGGGAATGAATTAGTACGTGTGTTGGGGGGGGTGACTCAGATGACTCAAAGAAATAAAACTGAGTACCCTTTCTTGGGGACATTCAAAGCTTTCTATTCTAGCCTTTCCCTTCAACATTTGGCTCTGGCCACACACAGAAGAAAAACCTGGCCACACTCCCAGGGCTTCCTTGTAGCTCCTTCCTCTCCATTCCTCCCTTTCTCCCACACAAATAGGGGACCTTTCTTTTTTTTTTTTTAAAGATTTTTTTTTATTATTTATTCATTTGAGACACAGAGATAGAGAGAGAGAGAGAGAGAGGGAGAGAGGAAGAGAGCATGAGGAGGGAGAGAGGCAGAGGGAGAGGGAGGATGAGCAGGATGCCCGATGCTGGGCTTGATCCCAGGACGCTGGGATCATGACCTGAGCCGAAGGCAGACGCTTAACCATCTGAGCCACCCAGGCGCCCCAATAGGGGACCTTTCTGAAGCCCTGAGGCTTCTTGTCCAAGCCAGCTTTCTAGCTTTCCAAGACCCTCATTTCGTTCTGCTGCCCACTGTATACCCTCCCCTCTATCCCCCCCCAACTTTCTGTGTTCAGAACTTAGAATGGGCGGTGGACAGGGTTGGCAGCCTTAGGAACATCTGGGTATCCACAAATCATCATGAAGACTGCCACCGCATAGTGTTGGAAGGGCCCTTGAGGAATTAGGTCCCAGATGAGGAGCCAGTCTGGGTCCAAACCCTGGACCAGGAATGTGAGACCATGGGCCTCGGTACCTAGCACAGCTCGTCCCGTAGGGCCATTTGCACTGAAACGGGTGTTGCCAACAATAAGCACTTGGTATGTTTTCTTTCTCTCCCATCATATTGTTAGGATCTTCAGCTACTTCCCAGTTGAGGAACTTGTTCCCTGGGCAGCCCATTATCACTTCCTGGGAAGAAAATAAGCTTTTAAATATGCATTCTCCTGCCCAAGTGTCTGTGGGCATCAAGGAGGGATGAGAGGCACCTTTAGCCCATTCGCGACTTCACGGTAGGGGGACTCGAGGGCAAGGGGCAAACAAAGCGTCAGCATTGAGGACTTCTGGCTTAGCCGGGGATTACGTCCTGCTTTGGGTTACCACAGCTGCGGAGTTAGGGGACTTGGTCTGTAGAAGACTGACACCACATTTCCACATTTGGCAGTAACCTTAACTGCCAAATCATTCTGCCCACCTGGCTGGGTCAGCCGTCCTTGTCCCGTTCTAATGTCCGTGCTGCCACCCAGTGGCTGGCCTGAGTAATGACACATTTCCCTGGCCTGCAGCGCGCTCATCCCTGATTGAGAAAGGCGATATTCAAAGAGCGCAGGCCAACCCCCTGGGGAATGGTTTCCTACTTGCTCCCATTCCATTCAAGAAGACACTTCTCGGGGTGCCTGGGTGGCTCAGTTGTTAAGCGTCTGCCTTCGGCTCAGGTCATGATCCCAGGGTCCTGGGATCGAGCCCTGCATCGGGCTCCCTGCTCAGGGGGAGGCCTGCTTCTCCCTCTTCCACTCCCCTGCTTGTGTTCCCTCTCTCGCTGTGCCTCTCTCTGTCAAAAAAATAAATAAAAATCTTAAAAAAAAAAAAAAAGAAGACACTTCTCTTTTGCTCATAAAATTGATAGCAGACATCACTGCAATCCTTTAGGATATCTTCAGCAAAGACAACTGATCAAGGGGAAAGATGGATGAATGTTATTCATAACTTACTCTTGAGTCGCCTTTTGTGTCTGGGGGCTTCACCACAATTACTTGGATAATCTGGATTTTATTCTGCTCCCTAATCCCCAGCTCTGCTTTTGACCTGGACTATCTGGTGATCATTTAAAAGCATTCTATTTGGCCCAGGTTTATAGACTAGGTATCCACAGTCCCCTACCCTCTTCTTTAAAAAAAAAAAAAGTCTCTCACATTCTATTTCACTTTATGCATTATAGATCTCAGGGAGTTTTAAGTAACGAAAAATGAGATTTTTCTATTATATTGGTTTGTTCATTTTCTGTCTGTTTAGGCATGCCACATCTCCCCGCAGACACTTGGTTTCCTCATCCATGAATTGAGGGTAATAATTATTATCCCTATTCTTGGGATTGTTGTCAGAATGAAATGTGATACAAGAATGAAATGTGATACAAGATGCCACGTCTTTTCCCCACCGTGAAGCTCTTTGCAACTGTTGTAAGGACACTGACCTGCAAATATCTCGTTTCCAGCTCCGATATTACTGAAAAAGATCCAAGCCGAGATGTACCCTGACCACTCCGGGAATATAAGATTAAGCTGCCAGTTTGCAGAAATTCATGAAGATTCTACAATCTGGTGGACAAAAGATTCAAAGTCAATAGCCCAAGTGCAGAGAAGGTGCGATATTTGCCCGGTCACTTTTCATAGCTGTTGCTTGTTTCACAACGTAGTTCTAAAAGAAATTAGTTCTAGGAAGTAAAAAGGAAAACCGAAGCCGAAACCCCACACCCAAAGTATCCAAGGCGAGTAACTGAAGACAGATGTCTAGACAGGGAAGGGTGTGGAAGGTTCTTAGCTGGGCTCTGCCACCCCTGAGTTTTGTGGCCTCAGGAAGTCAGGAAACCTTTCATGATGTTTCTAGAATCAGGGGAACGGGTCAGATCATCTTCTAGTCTGAGGTTCTGTGGTCCCAAGAGACAGAGCTCTCTTCTGTATGTCTGTGAATTTGGCTGTGTTTTCTGTTTCATAAATTCCCATGAGCCTGACAAATTTCAACGCTAAGAAGGTGAATCCAGAGGAAGAAAAAAAGAAAAACTACCTCTATACCATGAGGTCATAGAAAGTAGGAGCTTGGAGGGTGATAAGCAGCCATTTCTGAGATGGAAAAAACTATTTATTTCTGGGGCCCTAGGATGGAAAGGCGAGGAAGAGGGGAGAGAGAGGAGAGTGAGAATCATTGCCTAGAATTCCCGTTGGAATGAACCTGACGAACGGCTTCCTAAAGCTCCTTGCTGGCAATACACGCTCGTTCACGTGAACTGTGGACCTTGAGCTTCATCTGACACACCTGAGGGGCGTGGCTCCTTAAACAGATCACCTGGCTCAGTGGGAACCACCCTAACTCAAACAGTCCTCAGGTGCTTCTTTCTGCCAAAGGAGGTCCCATGGAGGTGTTCCTACCCCCTTCATCTTGTCACAAATAGCCTGCAAAAGGAAGAAAAATCTGAGAGCTTTCTGTCTAATTAAATCAAATATGTCTGCGTGGAACATGTGTCTGGAAATTATGTCCCAAATGCAACTATGGCAGATTTGAGCTATAGTTTTTTTCCATGACATCACTCCAGAAAATCGAACTGGATTGTGATGGATGGAATAATGCCTTGCTGCCTGAAACGTTGCTATTATCCTGCCTGTCTTATGTATGGCTTAAGAAGAATTATAATGGAGAACAAATGGCTTCATTTTCAAATCAAGGCCGCTCCCTAGAGCTTTATAGAAAAGAAGCACTCATGATTCATTTAAAAAACTTTCTGTAGCTGTCAGCCAAGGATAATTAACCAGTGGGGTTTTTCGCAGTCTTGCTCTGAGCTCACAATTGGCACCCGAATCCTTTGGGTCCCTTTTCCATTTGAGACGCTGTTAGAAAACCTGACCTCCCTCTGAAGAGCACATGACAGTGACAGACTTGCCATGTATTAGTGACACTAGGCCTTTATGTTCTTAGTGACGTTGGCTTCATTTCGTCTTGGCCACACTGGCTTTGGTGACCCGAGAATACTTGGGAGTCGTACACCCTCTGTATATCGAGAAATCTTTTATATTATTTCAAGTGGCTTTTTAAATGTTATCAAATTCTCTTTCACCCTTAATTCCAGTTGAGTGTTTCCTTTACGTGTCCCTCCAAGAAGCATCTCACTGCCTTGTCAAAACATAATTTTCAAGAAGCTGAAATCTCTCAAACAAGTTTAGTGTAGCCATGTAGCAGAGATCTTTTTCAACTCATTAAATAATGAAGAACCAGGAAGATGGTAAAGCTGTTCAAAGGAGCCTTTGAAGAAAGGAGATTTATATAGTCAGTCGGGCAAATGAAATGCAATAGATGATACTTTTGCAAACAGATACAAAACTGGTTAATATTTGACAGGTAACAAACACTGGGGGTTACCTTTTCTCCTAGACAGAACCTATAAGTTGCAAATTTAAAATGTCTCAGGGGTTCTATTTAAATAGCAAAGTCACGCACAGGAGCGTTCTCCCATAATTAAATTCTCCTTGGGTGAACCCGTTAAACTGTGACCTATGAAGGGCAGGAAAGGGCCTCCAGGGTTCTCTGTCAAGTGTCAGAGCATCAGGGAATCTCTGGGTCAGAAGCCACAGAGAAAGACACTGCCCCAGCCCTTCTGTGACTCAGTTTCCCAGCCCAACAGGAAATCTTCTCCCCATAACTGGGCCTGTCCACTTTCAACCACGCATTCAAGATGTGTTCAGAGGCTCTGTCGGTGGATGATGTATTATGATTTCGTGGACTTTTTTTTTTTTAAGCCTTTGGTACATGTGTAAATCAGAGTCTTGATGTCCACCGAAAAACCAACCGATCGTGAATACTTTGTGGAATGAGCAACTGAGACAGAGTCATGATAAGTGGAATTTATGGTTGAACTGTGAAATGACCTAAAACTGAAAAGGACAAACCTGGTGAATGTTTAACAACATTCAAAACAAAACTGCAACAATATTTAATGTAACTTTTTGGCTACAACTAAATTTTTAGTCTCAGACTTTGGAATAAAGATTGGAGCGTTAGCCATAATTCCCATTATCCCAGATTTGAGGACAGTGATCACAAATCACTTGAGTAGGCAGCATAACGAGATCAAGGTGAGGACTCCAGACTCAGGCTTTCTTGGTTCAAGTTCCCGCCCAACCCTTATCAGCTGTGTGATCTGAGGTCACGTGCTTGATCTCTGTATGCCTCAGTTCCCTCATCTGTGAAACGGGAATAGTAATATACTACTTCTCTCATTAGATTGATCTGTGAGCGACATGAAATAGACGTTTAAGTCATTAGTACAAGGCCTGGTGCATACCAAGTGCTCCATATGCATTAGCTATCATCACCACCACCACTGGTTTTTCTGTTCATAGCACGGTGCCTAGAACTTAATAAGGTTGAATGGGTGGGAGGGCGGATGGATGGATGGTATTCAGTAGGGGAGTACCCTATTTAAAAGAATACCCTCAGCCACACATCCTTATTTATAGCAGAGACCTCCTTTCTCTTGTCCCTTATTGTGTCTGTGTTTAGATTTGGGTTTGGAATTTTCAGGTTTCCTTCAAGCACGGGTCATCTGCATTAGTAACATAATTGAGGTAAATTCTGAGCAGAAAGGTTAATGACAGTCCCCAGAATTCACACTTCTGGTTCTTTGCTCTGCCAGCGGCAGCCAAACCTCCCAAATGTTTCTGTATTAATACTGCATGTTGGAGCGAGGATGCTAAACCAAAATCGCACTGATCGTCCCCTACAGACAAATGAATTATTTAAACAGCTTATCGAGATCTTGTTCTTTTAGCCAGCCTGCTGGCCCAAAAAACAAGAGGGCAGGGAAGCATGTGTTTCTTTCTCCTTAAGTGTATTGGAAACATCCAACCTCAGAACGATAAAGCGTTCAAATATTCATGTCCCCTATTGCAGTGCAGGCAACAGCTCTACTGTGTCCTTGGCCATCATGCAAGCTGGTCAGAAGGACCAGGGCATCTACTATTGCAGCATCAAGAACAGTTATGGAAAAGTGACCACTGAGTTTAACCTCACGGCCGAAGGTAAGCCTCGGCTGTCAGTTTCAGGCGAAAACCACGAGCTCTGCTCCCCCCACCCCCAACCCCAGTTCAGAATGCCCATGCGTACTGAAGGCACTCTCTTCTTTGTCTTCCTCTAGTTCTGAAACAACTCTCAAGTCACCAGGATATGAAAGGTAAGCCAATCCGAGTTGGATGTCCAAGGACGGGGGCACTCCATAAAAGCATGAAATAGCTCCTGGAATCAATGGTAGAAGCAGTATTCCCATCGACTCTTCTAACCAAGTAGGAGAGAGAGCCCGAATGACTGAGACATGAGTGACAATTCATGAGCTAGTTCAAGCTAGTCGCATGGCTTACAGTAAGTGCAGGAGGTGACAAGTATCCAGAAGAGTTGTGTTTATGCAAGATCAGACTGCAGCATGCAGTGCTCGAGGACACATTGGCAGGGCTTTGGGGTAAGACTTCTTCCTTTAAGCCTCAGGCTTGCATCCAGCCCCTCTGCAGGGGCGTTTCAGTCTCCGGCAATGACTGACGCAGCCGGTTTTGTGTCTTCGGTTTACTTCGCGGTTTGACTAACTGGGCCGATGCCAAAGACAGCCAGGCGTTGAGCAGAGTAACTCCATTCGTTTGCATCTTAATGAAAATGAAAGATGTGTGTGGGTGCTTTCCTTTGGCGTTTTGGCCCTGGTATGGCAGCAGCCTAACAACAGCTCCTGAACAGTCACCTGCCGCTGGGCCACCCACTGGGGACAGTTTGGTGGAGTCCTGCTTGGCCTGTGTTTCCTCTTAGGGAAAAGTACCTGTCCCCACACATGCCCATCCCCACCCAGTGGTGTGCTGGGAAATGTTTAACGACCTGGCAGGATGGGAGGCTGATTCATTGAGTTTACTCCTTTCTGTGGTGTAAAGAGTCTCACCACGGCCGATTTTAAATTGCCAATGTGACATCGGGAAAACATGGAACCAGGAAGAGATGCCCATCTGTGCACGCCCGCCTCACCCACGTGACCACGGCTTTTAGCACCTTGGTCACTTTTAGAAGAGGGGTGAGTAAAACTGATAACTTAGTTGATTTAGCTCATAAAGAGATTCACTTCGTGTGCTGATTTTTAGACGAACAAAAGACCTGAAGACGGTGAAGTCTTTGTGAAGACAAGACAGTAAATGCAGTTATGATGGAGAACACCTAGTTCATTAAAGGCAAAAAGCTGGGATCTTGACTTAGAAATGCTCTAGCAAATACGTATCATGATATTTATCCAAAACAACAAACGCAGGCTCTTTGCAAACCTTTTCAATGCTACGTGCCTGTCTTTAGCACGGAGTGTACTTGTATAATTTTAGATCCTTTTTCCATGTCTGCCCCACCATCTCTCCAAAAGTCTAAATATGCAAAAGGATGTCCTTTCTCCTTATACATGAGAAAACACAATGACTTTCAGAAGACTTTCTCTGCGTCATCAGCTTCTTAGCATTGCTTGGCATTCACATCCCAGATACTTGCTGTGACCACGTTCATTTAGGTTCCCATAAACCCATTTTTCTAGGTTTTTACCAGTTAGGAATAAGACCCCAGTGGGGATGAGTGTAGCCCTGTGACTCCAACCAGAGGGCTCGGGTCTAGACCCGATGACATCACCTCCTCCCAGTGTCAGACCCCCTGTGACTGGGGGGTCCAGTGTCAGTGACTCACCGGGCTGGGGATCCCGTACTTTCCTCCCTGTCCCCTTGATCTTTCAGATGAAGAAGCCTCAAATGACTTCTTTATCACCTTTTGTATTTGGAGGAGTCTCTCTCACTAAACATTTTATTAGTTGAGTTCTCCAGAGGAAGAACAAATAATATTTTACAAGTTGGTCTCTAATTAAAAAACTAATAAAACCAAGCTTGTGGGAAAGCCCAAAATGAATGATAGTTCAAATAAAACACAAGCTAGCACAACCTAATGATAACACACAGGGCTTTCAAAGAAAAGTCCTAAGATTTATTTTTTTTCCCTTTCATTGTTTTATCTTTGTTAAGTAGACATTTCTGTTGGAAATCATAGATAGGATTGTTAATTATACCCAATGTAGTACTATACAAAAAAATTTCCCTTCTTATTTCTGAGCACATAGTCTGGAACAACTTTTGTGTTAAATTTGATACATTTTTAAGTACTCAGTGCACACATTTCTGTTGAGAATAATTGAGTTTCAGAAATTTGGGGGATTATGAAGGAAAACAGAAGGGGGTAAATATAGCTCATATTTATTGGGCTCTGGTATGTTTACCCAGAACACTTCCTATATTCTTTAAGTAGTAGTAGGGCCCAAATTGTTAACATGAAATTAATCATGTAACTAGAATTGAGAAGATTTGGGTTATATTAAAAAAGCCTCCCTTCTTCGTTTTGTGATCCAATTTCAAAATTTAACTTAAAAAAAAAAACTATACTCTTCTCCATAAATTAATTTTTTTTTCTGGTTCTGTCACTAAGGTTGAAATCCATGATACAAGGATCTCCTTAAAATCTGCCTGGGAGGTGCCTGGGTGGCACAGTCGGTTGGGCGACTGACCACTGGTTTCAGCTCGGGTCATGATCTCCGGGTCGTGAGATTGGGTCCCGTGTCAGGCTCCACGCTCAGCGTTGAGTCCGCTGGGGTTTCTCTCTCTCCCTCTGCTCCTACCCCCGACATGTGTGAGCTGGCTCACTCGCTCTCTCTCTCAAATACATAAATAAATCTTAAAAAAAAATTTGCCTGGGACAGTGTCCCATGTGCCTTCCTGTTTCCCAGCTTCACCACCCGTTCTGTCTAGAAACCCAGGACAGGTTACTTGGCCAGAGGCTCCTGCTCAGCTTTGTGAAGTCTTGGAGGATCTTTCTGCACACTCCCTTTCTACTGGCACCTTCAGCCCTTTTTCTATTCGAACCCTCCCTCCTACCTCCTTTCTTTCTTTCTGTCAATAACTAGGCCTATTCATTCATCAATACCCTTTAAGAATTATTTTATTTTATTTTTTTAAGAGAGAGAGCGAAGAGTGCGGGGGAGGAGGGGCAGAGGGAGAGGGAGAGACAGAATCCCAAGCAGGCTCCACGCCAGCATGAGGGGCTCCATCTCACGACCCTGAGGTCATGACCTGAGCCGAAATCAAGAGCTGGACACTCAGCTGACTGAGTCCCCCAAGCGCCCCAAGAATAATTTTAATCTCCTTATACCTTTAATAGCTAGCTTTAGTCATAAGCTGCTCTTATTTATTTTAATTTAATTTAATTTTATTATGTTATGTCAGTCACCATACATTACATCATTAGTTTTTGTTGTAGTGATCCACGATTCATTGTTTTCGTATAACACCCAGGGCTCCATGCATAGGCTGCTCTTAAAACATATGATCTGAAAATATTTTTAAAAGCAGAGGAAAAAATGTGTCTCTACACAGTCTAAGTAGAAATGTGAAGTGAGATTTTTCACACGACCCAGGATTTCTTTGTTCTTTTAAACATTCAGAAAGATGTCCATTTTCATCTACTTTGAGGAGGAAGGCATTTAAAAAAATCTAAACAAACTTACTTCATTGAAAGCCATCTTCTTTACTTCTGTCAGCCCATCGGAAGGCTGACCTGCTCATCTCTAGTTTAAAAGAGAACCTTCTGATTGCGTCCATTGGCACCTGAAACATGGAGAATCAACTTTGAAGCTGGTGCTAGAAAAAATAATTCTACTTTTCTTTTTACAAATAAATCCAAAATGATTAGATTTTTTTTCGGTCTTTCTTCAGAGGCAGTTCCTCTTACGGTTTGGTTTTTGCCCGCCTATTTCTTTCTTTTTCTTTAAGATTTTATTTATTTATTTGACAGAGAGAGAGAGAGCACAAGCAGGGGGAGCGGCAGAGGGAGAGGGAGAAGCAGGCTCCCCGCTGAGCAGGAAGCCCCATGCGGGACTCGATCCCAGGACCCTGGGATCATGACCTGAGCTGAAGGCAGGCGCTTAACGACTGAGCCACCCAGGCGTCCCTGCCTGCCTATTTCTTATGTCTACTACGGACATTCTCAACACAGGGAGGCAGTATTGCCCCCGAGAAGGCAAAAATTGCTTTTTAAGGAGGCAAAAAACATGCACTCTGTGTGTGAAGCCCAGATATACACATAGTACATAAACGGATATACAGTATATGTGTGGAATCAAAATTTCGGGGTAGGGGCCATTTGAAAAAAAGTCTAAAAAGACTCCTTTCAGGGGGCAATCATGAGAAAAAGGGTTGAGAAACATTGATCTATCACATCTTACCATCGGTCCCTCCTCCTCCCTCCTCCACCCTTCACCTGTCTTTTCAACTTGCCTTAAATTACGTTTCAGGGTCCTGTCCATATTTTCCAGGTCTGTCTAAACTTCTTTTCCTGGTCTCCCCAGTTTTGCTCCAGCCAGTCTTCTCCCCTCTCATCGGATCGGGGGAGGCCTCACACGGATCCTCCTCCGTCCTCCTCGATGACTCACCCTCCGCTCCCCACCATCTCATCTTTGAGCTCTGCCTCTGTTGGGAGTGTGGTTTCCCCTCTGGGTTCTACAGGCCAGCCTTGCCCTTATCCCTGCGTGGGAACATCCGTTAGCCAAGAAGCAGCACTGGGGGGGATCTTCTGCCCAACTAAAGGTGAGCTGTGTTTTAGGATGTGAGGAGATTGAATTCAGCCAGCTCATCTTCAGGGAAGACTTCCTCAGTGACAGCTACTTTGGGGACCACCTGCGCGGTCAGATTGCCACGGAGGAGTTGCACTTCGGCGAAGGCGTCCACCGGAAGGCCTTCCGCAGCAAAGTGATGCGGGGGCTCATGCCCGTCTTCCAGCCCGGCCACGCCTGCGTGCTCAAGGTGCACAGCGCCGTTGCCCACGGGACCAGAAACAACGATGAGCTCATCCAGAGGAACTACAAACTCGCTGCCCAGGTGGGTGCACCTGCCCGAAAGAGTCCCTTGGGGTGTGAGGGGGACCCATGATAGCCTGAGATGAAAGTCAGACTCAGAATTGTTGGGAGTGTCTCCAAGAGTGGGTTTCTCTCCCTTTGGGGTGTGGTTGTAAGGGAGCCACGGGATCAAGCCCGAATGCTGGGAACCAAGTCCAAGTTCTCAGGGCAATTTCTTGCCCTCATGCCAGCCGACTGGGACTCGGCCTGTGTCTGGAGGCCCCTCCCTGGTTCTGACCTGGGCTGGGATCATTTCTGTTCCAAGGGAGCCCCATGAGGTTCTTGAAGGTTTGAGTCTACTTGGACACAGGATGTTATAGAAAGTGGGGGCTCCGAGCTACACAGGAAGCCAGGATTCCCTAGCATCCCCAAGGGAGTAGTTTCTTTTCTTTTTTTTTTTTTTAAGATTTTATTTATTTATTTGAAGAGAGAGACACAGCGAGAGAGGGAACACAAGCAGGGGGAGTGGCAGAGGGAGAAGCAGGCTTCCCACCAAGCAGGGAGCCCGATGCGGGGCTCGATCCCAGGACTCTGGGATCATGACCTGAGCCGAAGGCAGACGCTCAACGACTGAGCCACCCAGGCGCCCCGAGGGGAGTAGTTTCTAAATTGTTTTGGTTTGGTTTGGTTTGGTTTATGGAGGGGTGTGGGGTATAATCAGAAGCTTCAGCATTTGTCCTGTTTTCTGCCTTTCTGAGTTTGGGTCAATGTCCGCCTATAAGCTATGTGGAGAGATTGAGCCAAGACTCCAGCTAAGTTCCCACCTCCCTATGTTACTGAGTCATAGAGTCTTGAGACAAGAAGAGAGCCCCCCCCTCCCGCTTTGGCCCATGTTTTTCACTCTTAACATCAGCACTGGCCAAGCTTTCGAGAGTGTTGGGTCTAGATCTTTCGCAGAGGAGGTGCCCTTCTAGAACTGTTACCTGTAGAACGGATAGGTTAGACTTCGCTGAATCTCCTGGGTACTGTCAAGCTCTAACCACCCATCATTGTCTCAGATGTGCTGATGTCAGGGGGGACTTGGGGCTCATGAAGGCAGCCCCTCTTCTGAGTATAGTATTTTGCCAATTGTATTCCTTTCTCCTCCAAATCAACCCTCCTTTTTTCTGTTCTTTCATTGCATATCTTTCCATCTCAAGTACCATCTGGTCCAGTCAGGGAAAACCCCCATCATCCAGACTCCCTCTTGGAGAGGCCCTACAGAGCAGAAAGCAGAATCCAGTTCGCTTTTCCGAGGCAAACAATCTTGTCGAGCTGTTCACTGCCCGCAACTCTCATCACACCCCTGAAGAAGAACTTCAGATGGGAGAGCTCACAGGCAGACCAGCGGGCCCTGACATGCTGCCCTGGGGCCATTCCCCTTAGCCTAGGGTGAATTTCAGCCATCCAGCTTCTAGAACTTTTGTAGTTCAGGACACCTGGCCCCAGAGACCACTTGAACTTTACCTAGATAGTTCCTTCAGGTCTCAGAGCCCCTCGGCAAGTGGACAACTCTAGGTTGTAATAATTGTTGCTTCTGTGCTCCTGACCAAGGGATGGATGGGTTTGGGAATCCACTGGCTTGACCCACATCAGGAAATCTGATTAGCTTTACCGGCAACTCTGAATTTCTTCTAATCACTTGTCTTTCTCATGTGTGTGGGTGATGTAGGAATGCTATGTCCAGAATACTGCCCGACAGTATGCCCAGATCTATGCTGCCGAAGCACAGCCTCTGGAAGGCTTTGGAGAAGTGCCGGAGTAAGTGTGTTTACTCGCTCTTGTATTACCACTCCCGATTTGTCAGGGACTTGGGGCCTGGAGGGAGGAGAGGGTGAGAAGGACCAGTAGGACAAGCAGTTCACCTGGCCTTTCTGTCTGGGACCTATGAGAACACATGTGGCTGCTATCCTGTTCCTTACTAGGTGGCCAGAGACTTAGAGAGAGATACTTAATACATTCTTTAAATCAACGTATGTTTGCGTACGTGTGTACGGATAGATGGATGGAAGGATGGGTAGATGGATGGAGAGATGAATTCAGTAACTGTGTCATATGAAATAGAAAAGAATTGGATAGAAAATGAATTAGATAAACGTATCATGTTAAATAGAAAAGAAAGAGTATCTGCTTCCCGGATATGACATTGTCTCAACAATAAGCCGGTATAAGAGAACACGAGACTATCACAAAACAATTACCCTACGATAAAAATAAAATATGGTGCCTGTGTCTAAGAAGAGTGACTTGGGTATCATCAGTGGAGGAACATACTACCCATTTCCTGGAACCCTGCAGAGATAAATTACACTGATTATTTTAATCCACTCATTGACTAAACATGGATTGACCCAAGCAGATGTTTGGGGGTCTGGAACTTGTGGTTGCTAGCCTGCTTATGTGGTTGAGATCATATGTGTGTGTTTAAGTGGAAAGAGAAAGAGGTATGCCAGGGCACGTTGGAAATTTCAGAGAGAACAGTCTTTTGTGTTTCAGTAGAAACTGGGAGAAGAAGGAAGGAGGGAATTGTTGCCTACATTGATTCTGTCAGCTCACAAAGGGGGGGAAATACTCTCCCTGAGGTAGTGTATTGGGCATATCATATAGAAAGTCCAGTCTTTCTGCTCTTTGTCAGGAAATGCTTAGTGTCCTTATTTAGTTCACAAACATTTCTCAGCAACTTCAAGAAAAATTAACATAATGCAAAGAAAATACACAAGTGCTTTTCTGTTAAACCCACAAAGAGAGCAATCTGGACTGAGTTACGGTGAACTCGCACATTCTCTTTCTTCTCCAGCCCCCTTTCCCAGTCTCCGCCCCCTTCAGTTCTTCTTAAGGAGGAAGAGAGGCAACTGGGTGAGCTGTCCACAAAGCTCGGGACCATGGCCCTGTCCGGCGAGGCACACCCAAGTTTTGCGTGACTTGACACCACAATCGGGGGGCTTTCTAAAGAAAACAGCACAAAATTATGAATACAAAGATTGGTGCAGGGACTTGGGAAGGGACTGTGCTTATGAGGGACACAGGGGCTAATGAGCGTCATCAGCACCCCCACGGATATGTCGCTGGCTTAAAGACAGACTAGGACATTTTGATATGTAAACACCTGTCCCTTCCTCACAGGGGAAGAATCTGTGAGTGCATGAATGATAACAGACGGAAGGATAGGGGTCCTCACAAAGGCATCTGCTCCGATTCCATGCTCATTGAACCAAAATCAGAGGATTCTGCACCGGGGAACACACACACGCACGTGCACACACACACGCGCGCACACACACACAGAGCCTTCATAAAGGCTTCCATACTTGAAACTATGTTAGAAAAGCTGAACGCAAGCAGGACTTTAGAGGAGACGGCACAGTGAGTGTGATCGTGTATGTGTTGGGTGGGGATGATTTGGATGCTTCTCAGCCTCGAGATGCTCTGGGGTGTGCAGGGACCACCGAGACGTTTCCACCTGGCGGTGGCGGTGCAAATGGAGGGCAGAACATTGGTGGGGGCATCAGTGCTGGCCCCCAGAAGGAAGAGGCCCACGCGAGAGGAGGTGCAGAGGCTGGATGCAGTGAGAGCAGTCGGAGAGGCCTTGCTACAGCCCCGGGGAGGGGCAGTGGTAGTGGGACTTGGTCACTGGACAGCAGGGGGAGAGGCAGTGTCCCAGACCTGGTTAAGGGGAGAGGGTCCTTCCAGAGGGAAAAAGGGTCAACGCTCAGGTGGTGCGGCAAGATCCTGGGCAATAATTAAAAGCCATCAGAATGGGGGTGCCTGGGTGGCTCAGTTGGTTAAGCGACTGCCTTCGGCTCAGGTCGTGATCCTGGAGTCCTGGGATCGATCGAGTCCCGCATCGGGCTCCCTGCTCCTTGGGAGCCTGCTTCTCCCTCTGACCCTCCCCCCTCTCATGTGCTCTCTGTCTCTCTCATTCTCTCTGTCTCAAATAAATAAATAAAATCTTTAAAAATATATATTTAATAAAAAAAAAAGCCATCAGAATGAGTGACCTTAGCAAGCGGGATTTTTTTTTTTTTTAGGACTTATTTATTTATTTGAGAGAAAGAGAGCATGAGCAGGAGGGGCAGAGGCAGAGGGAGAGAGAATCTCAAGCAGACTGTGCTGAGCGCAGAGCCCGATGCGGGGCTCGATCCCACGACCCTGAGATCACGACCTGAACCAAAACCAAGAGTTGGACTCTTCACTGACTGAGCCACCCGGGCACCCCAGCAAGCGGGATTTTTGTGTCATATGAAATAGAAAAGAAATTGGGTAGAAAATGAATCAGAAATGAATACCCGAGGGGTAACGGGTCAAAGAGCGAATTGGACTTGGAGCCAAACCAACGCATGGTTGCTCCCGCAGTGAGTGGTAGGTGAGGCGCATTCCTACACATCCCCTCACAAGCCCCTGTGCGGTTTATTCCTTGCTCAGTGACTGATGAACGGGAAGGGCCAGTTGGGACGTCACATCTTTGCTCCATGCTAGCGTAACTGGGGAGTGGGAGGGGCGGGCAGAGCACCCCTGCGGCGGACCTCAGGGAGGAGTGTTAGGGAAGCTTCAGTTCAGGCAGGGTGGGGTGAGGAGAGGACCTGGGGGTGGGACTCAGATGGGCTCGTGTGCGTGGGTGAGTGAGCGGGGTGGGGGGACACTAAGTTAGGGGTACCAAGATGGAGGGGATGGGGTTGTTAGCGTGCCCCTCCCCCTTGCCTCCTGCTCTACCAGCTTATTTCTACTCAGTCTTTACAACTCAAGTCACGCCACGCCGCCCCTGGAAAGCCTGCAGCCTGTCTTTATTAGTTAGGAGTTGGGAGCAGGGCGCACCTCCCTTCCCAGCGTTTGTCCCTGCAAAGCAGGGGCTGTGTCTCTTTCATGTTCGCTTTCCTGGTGAGTTTTTGAGATTCTGGCATAAGCTACTCAGTAGACCTTCATTGAATGAAAAGAATGGGAGGGTGAGCCGCCAGGCACCGAGGTGGGGCAGAGATAGGAGTGTGGGGCACATGAGGAGTTCAGTTTTGGCTGTGTTAAATTTGAGGTGCCTATTAGGCATCGATCGAAGAGAGTAGGAGGCTGGACATGTGAATCAGGAACTCAGGGGAGAGGTCTGGACCGGCGATATAAACGTGGAAACGGTCACCATGCCGACTGTACTTGAAGCAAGGAGGTCACTGGCCAGTGTGGGCAGAGAGGGAAGAGCTCTCCCAGGGCACGCCGGCTCTAAAGTTTGGGGAGAAATGAGGATCCAGCGAAGAAGACAGGAAAAAAGTAGCCAGTGGAGCAGGAAGGAGACCAAGAGGAGGTGAGTCTCTGGAAGCAGCGGGAAGGTGCTTTGAGAGATCAGCTGTGTCCAGTGCCACTGAGAGCAAGTGAGACGGCGACGGAGAGGAGACCGTTGGACTCAGCCACACCTGGATGCTACTGGTGCCCTTGACCGGAGCTTCTTTAGTGGGCATGCCTCCGTGAGTGGGTTCCAGAGAGACTGGGAGGGGAGGGACTGCAGACAGTGAGTCTAAACTGATCTGAGTTTGGATGGCAGCCGTGAGTCAGTGGTTGAGGGGCTGTGGGGTCAGCATGCTGTGCAGAGTGTCTCAGCATGTTGCTGGGCCACTTGGCAATGATGGTTCTGCAGAGGGAAGAGGGGATGGAGGATGCGGGCAGTACTTGCTGGGGCAATATCCCTGATATCAGAGGGGGTGGCCAGATCCGGGACACCAGTGGAAGAAGAGGTGCAGGGGGGAGCAAGGAGGCTTAAGCCATCGTGGGGGGCAAAGGGGCGGGCGCAGACTCCGGGAGGTAGGACTCTGTGGTGGTGGCAGCTCTTAGAAGCCCTCTTCTGATTGTTTCAGTCTGCACCGTAACCCAGGAAGCAAGGCCATCAGCTGAGAGGGAGGCTGGGGAGGAGGGGGGCGGAGTGAGGAGAGGAGCGATGGGAAACAATCATCTAGGGAGGGGGGTGACGGCGAATGGACTGTGCGGAAAGCCCCATTCGGGATGTATCCCTTCTCCCCTGCGGCCACCACCACTGTTGTGCTGTGTGCTCCCTGGTTCCCTGCTCAGCCCTCGCCCCCGCACGGCCCCTTCTCCCCAGAGTGGCAGACTCATCCATAACACGGGTGTGTGATCGTGGCAATCCTCTGTCCAAAACCCTCCAGGAGCCTCTCATCCAAATCGGTACAAAGGGCCAGAGTTTTTCAAATGACCTTCCAGACCCCATAAGGTCTGGCTTCCCGTTCCCTCCCTGTCTGCACCCACCTGCTACCACCTCCCCTTTGCTGACTCTACTCCAGCCACACGGACCCCTCCCTGCTCTTGGAACCCACCAAGAATGCTCCTGCACCAGCGCCTTTTCCCTTTGTTGTTCCTTCTACTTAGAATGCTCTTCCCATAGATACCCTCATGGCTCCCTACCTCCCTTCCTACAGGTCTCTGCTCAAACGTTCTTTCTTAACAAGGCCTTCTCTAACCTCCCTCAGTAAAATAGCAGCCCCTGCCTGATCCTTGCGCTACCTAGCACCTTTCCACTGCTTTATTTTTTCACCTAGCACCTAGCACTACTATACATTGACTTCTTTATTGCCTGTCTCCCTCATTTAAATGTAAGATCCTTGAGAGCAGAGCCTCTGTTTTCTTCGCTGTTTTCTGGAACAGCATGTGGAAGACCATCTGACATAGAAACCACTGAAGGAATATTTGCTGACTGAATGGAAGGAAGGAAGGCAAGAAAGAAAGAAGGAGAAATGATGGGTGGATATATGGCCAATGGGTCACTGAGATATGACTATAAAGCAAACATTCATTTCCACATGGGCAGTCAAACTCCTTCCCAAGGAAGGATTTCTGCCCAACTCCAGGCACAAAGGAAAGACAGAAATGTATCTTTCCACCTATTGAACAACCATTGTGGTCGGGGGCCAGCCTATATCTAGTGGGGTCTGGGGACTTGTTCTGCATCTCCCTGCTCCCCCAAGTGAAGGCAGAATGCCCCCAGTCTCTAATTCTAGGTGAGAATGTGATGTGTGCCCATGCTGTCTTCCCTTCCAGGATAATTCCCATCTTTCTTATCCATCGCCCTGCGAACAACATCCCTTATGCAACAGTGGAGGAGGAGCTGATTGGAGAATTTGTGAAGTATTCCATCAGGGATGGGAAGGAGATAAACTTCTTGAGAAGAGAATCGGAGGCTGGTCAGAAGTGTTGTACTTTCCAGCACTGGGTATACCAGAAGACAAGTGGCTGCCTCCTGGTCACGGACATGCAGGGTGAGGAAAGCAGCCTGGCCTGGCTTCCAGGGATGCCACGGGCCTGGAATATTCCTGGGGGTGTGGATGGGAGGAGAGGGAGAGGTCTGCTGGATGCCTTTAAGCATCTTTACCAGCAGAAGGTGTGACTAATGTCTCATCAGGAACAAGGGCTGAGAGAGGAACCTGAAATGACCAGCCAAATGGAGCACTAAAGTACATTGTAATAATTCATACCAATAATGCGTTCCTATTACTACAGGTAACCGAAAATTGGCTTGATTGTTCTGTCCTCCACAGGGGCAATTCCGAAGTATGGAGGAAAATCTGGCTGTACCAAAAGATGAATTAAGATGTAATCATTCATTCTTAATAGGTGAAAGGGTCTTTCACAGTTGCTTTAGATTTTCAAGCTCCACTGGCTAGTTTGCAGCATTATCGATTTATATGCAAATTGACGGGAATGCCTTTGTCATATGAAGTGGGGATATGATAATTAGGGTACCCAGAGAGACAGCCCTGAGACCAGTTGCAGTTTGGGGTTCCCCAAGACCACCTTCTGGTTCATTGATTTGCTGGAAGAACTCACAGAACTCAGAAAATCCTTTACACTCATGGTTATGGTTCCTTACAGTGAAAGGATACAGACTCAAGTTAGCAAAAGGAAGAGGCTCGTGGGGCAGAGTCAGGGGGAAGCCAGGTGGAACTGGCAGGTGTCCTGTCATGGTGGAGTCATGTAGACAGCACTTACTTCTCCCAGCAACGATGTGTGGCAGTGCACAGGAAGAGCATGGGAAGCTCGCCCAAACCTCGGTGTTCAGAGTTTTTACTGGGGAGAGGGGGGCGCATCACATAGGCATCACTAGTCACAAGGTGGACTTTGGTCTCTAGCCTCTCCAGAGGTCACACCCACGGCCCCAGGTAGACCAAGACACTCTTATCAGGCAGGTCATTCCGGGGCTTAGGGGTTACCTCTCAGGAGCTGGGCAAGGATTGAACCTTTATTTGGGCAAGGTTAATCCTTCCCTGCACACAAATGTTCAGGTACAAATATTGGGGAAGGGATCCCAGGAAACGCTGGTAGGAGAGAAAAGTGGGACAGGCAGTGGGAAGGCGGCCAGCAGGGGAACCTTATAACAAAGCCAGTTTCCGTGGCGGGTCACTGAAGCTCCTGCCTGCTGGGGAGACTCTGGGAGCCTGTGCAGAGCACGCTCCTCAGAATTATCTCACGCAAGGAGTGAGGGAGCAGGGGTATTTATACACCAACTGTCTTCAGCTACCAGTGGAAGGCTACTCCTGGTGGGGGTGTTAATGCTCCTGTACTGGCCCCCTGCACATGGACAAGCCAAGCTGAGCAAAGCAGGCTCCCGTGATCAGAGAAAGTTCTCAGGCAAAGAAATGCTGGTGGCATGTGGAGGGGGGCCAGCGTGCACAGAAGCGGTTAGGGTGAGGGCAGTGGGTGGGGCGCCAACAGTTTCTACCACAAGGATTTTCCTTTTCCTCTTCCTTTCCAAATAATAATACTGCAGAGAAAAATCTGAACTATAATCGGGTGCCTGCTCTATGTCAGACCTTGTCACAGACGAGGATCTCCAGCTCTTTCTACAGCCTGGTGGTGAAGAGCAAGACTGCCTCTGGGTTCTGTTCCCACCGCTTCCTAGCTGTGAGCCTTGGGCAAATTACTTCCCTCTCTGCGCCTCAGTACTTTACATGTGGGGTTGTTGTGAGGCTTAAACAGAATGGGAAGACATGTAGCACAGCATTGCCACATAGTAAGTGTTCCCCGGTTTTTTAAACTTTTTATTTTGAGAAAACCATAGACATAAGAAGCTGCAAAAATGTTCAGAGAGGTCCCCCTTGTTGTATGTACTCATTTTTTCCTATAATTTTTGTCTGATCTTCATAAGACAAAAGGAAGACATAAGACATAAGTCTGCAAAGAAGACATTAGGATCCCATTTTACAGATGAGAAAACAGAGGCTCAGAGACAGTGCTTTGTCTGCTGTCACTCGGCTAATAAGCAGAGGGGTCCAAGACTCTACCCTGTGGTTTCTGACTCCAAAAGCCAAGCTCTTTCCACTAAACTGCAAATTTACCAATTTGCGAGAGATGGCCAAGTGTCTCCCAATGTTAAAGCTTCTAGTGGGGACCTTCTTGTAGGCCAGCTGGGAAGTGCACCGTGTTACAGTCTTGCAGGTGGGGCCAATCTGCATATTGAAGGCTGCCATACCCGCTCACTTTCTGAAGAGACTCCTCTGTCACCCCCCCCCCACACACACACCCCTATCTATTCTAGTTAGACTCCGGCTGTGTAATTCTGGATTCCCCCCTCCATCTTTTCTCCTTCAGAGTTAATTTTGCAATAAATGTAGTTCTTCTACTGAAAAGCAACACCCTGGAACTCCGTGCACAGCTAGTTTTGCTTCCAGGCACTTGTAAACAAGCGTAGTGGAATGTTACATCCCTCAGTAAATGATGTGTGCGGTTCAATGTGTTAGCACGGGGTATCATAACGGGGTTTATTCACTCTCTGCTTCTGGGGAAAATCTCTTTATTGTCATCATCGTTGTGTACAAGATAGCACATCCATTCTCCAGAGAACCTGTACATTTTCTAATTTAACTGAGACACTGGAATGAGGATTTAAAAAACCCCAAACAAACCCAACTCCACTATGACCTTCTCAGACGCTTAAAAGCGATCCCCGCCCTCATTGCATTAGGTTGTTGACAGGATTGTGGTGGGTTCTGCAAGCTTGGGGGTGAAATCCCCGCATGTGATTTGGCCCTGAGGTCTGCCCACCGCTGAGATCACTAGGGATCCTAAGAAGCGGTCACCCCAAGGACCCAAGAGCTCAAGTTCTGGAGAACAAATTCCTGATGCTGCCTACTTCCTTCCTTCCACCAGAAACGACCCGTAGATGACTGTTATCCCCCACTCCACTTCATTGCTCCACACTAGAATTCAAATTATTATCCTATGGAGACTTGGGTTGAATCCCCAGCAAATTACTAAACCGAGACGCGTTTCCTTTTCAAAATTATATTTTTCTCAACTGTAAGTGATAGCTGGTAACTGTGAGAGGCAGGACAAGCAATTCCCAAGTTCAAGGACCTTTTGCCAAATGACCTTTTAAAATTGGACTGAAATGCAGCTCAGAGCTGTGATTTTTAAATACAGCATTCCACAAAAACAAGATGTCCAAAGAGGGCTTTTACAATTTGGTGTCTTTTTTTTTTAAAGCACAGCCCCTGTAATAAAGGTTATATGAAGCATTTCTGCATATGTTCTCGTTGTTAGCAGCTTTGCAAGAATGAGATGAATTATTCGCCCTCTGAGAAAGCGGCTTTTAAAATGCTCACTGGCTCACACAAAGTGCCGGGTCTGATTTAGCTCACAGGTGCACTGCAGAAAAGGAACTCCATTGCTTCTGTCTGACTAACCAGCCTGAATAGCAGCATGGCCTGTATTTTTGCCGTGCTCTGGGCAGATGCTGCTGAATCAGGGCATTAACCCATCAGGGTTCCTCTCCCGGGCCTCCGAAAGCAGCGCTCTTAAGAGCGGAGACCCACGGAGCTGGACTGCCATCAAGTCTGACCTCGGGGTTGGCTTGGGAGAGGATGCTGGTTCCTTCGTCCACAGCCCAGGCCGGTTTCTGTGCTGCCAGGCCCCTCTGCGAGCGGGTCATCGGCTGGCCATGGGGAATACAGCAACCACAGGCCTGGGTAGGACAAGAGGTAGGGGCAAGAGAGGGGGAGGCAAGCCAGACAGACTGGTGGGGTAGCACCGTGGACCCCATGCTCTGCCACAGAAGGCCTATCACTAGATTGCAGGCATGTGCTTGAGGAGGAGGTCCATTGAGTCGGAGCCCATGCCCGTGGCCACCACCCTAGAGAGACAGGAGCTGAATGCTCCCGGGTCTGGCAAGGAGAGTCTGGAAAGGCCAGAGGCCATCCACACTCTGGGCATCAGAAAGGTTTGTCTTCCTCCAGATCTGGAAGAGGTTAGCGATGCAGAGTGAGACGGGGACAGGGTGAGAGCATGGCTCTTCTCCCGCTCCAGGTGAGGGCTACTCCGGCCTTCCCCGCCCTGCAAGACAGAAGGATTTTCCGTTTTCTTTGAGTCTCTGGTTCCTCAGCCACTCTCTCAACTGCTCCTGCTGGAGAGGCACAGGCAAAAAACCTCCTGTGTGCTTGCGCTTCTATCCGGGGTACCGTGGCTCTTGCTGAACCAGAGTGGGAAGCTCAGGGAGCTGTGTGGCTTGTTTTGGTGTTGGTAACCAGCTCCCCCCACCCCCATGGTTTAATGGGTAGAGGTTAGGATAAGTTAAAGGGTTGGACCATGGGTCACAGCGGTCAGCATCTCCAGGCCAGTAGTTCCAAGTCTCCATGTAACTCAGGAGTGTTTCCCTGGGCCTAAAGCCAACCCAGAAAATCTTCCCTCCTTAATTGGGAAACCATCTTTACAGGGATGGGAAATCGCATGTCTGGAGTTTGGCTTGGAACTGAACCAATGCCATCTTGGACTCTCTCACTGCTGACCTCACCACCACCCCCAGCCCACGCCCATGCCCACGTCACCCGCCACTGCAGTGACCCGGTGGAGCAGACCGAAGGCCCGTCTGAGCGTTTCCAGGGAGAGAGCTTGCGGGCCAGGCAGCCGGGCTCAGAGCTGTGCATGGAGCTACGGCAGCGGGGGGTGGGCCAGGCACACAGAGGACATCGTTGCCCGAGCTACAAAGGGCTGGGGGTGGCTGGGGGTGGCAGGCCCCACCACTGGTTCCCGCGAGACACAATTCCCCTCAAGTGCTGTCGGAGGCCTGCCGTCCCCCGTTATCCTCCCACAAAGCTGGAAGTATGTCTGCAAGGCCGTCAGTGCTGATGGAAACGAGGAGGAACGTGTGCTTATGTAGGAGAGGAAGGCGGGTGGGCTCTCAGTACCCCTTCCGCCGGAATGGATGGCCAGTCCTTTCCCAGGAGCCCCGGGTAACACAAATCCCACCTCTCTCTCTCCCTATAGGTGTAGGAATGAAGTTAACTGACGTTGGCATAGCAACACTGGCTAAAGGGTGAGTAGAAAAAACCCCAGCACATCTCATTCGATTCTGAGCCTCCAAACACCTGCCGGGCACACTCTGTGAAACCGATGTGGGCAAGTCGATTTCTTGTCCCAACTGCAGATGACAAATGTTCCTGGGACGAATTCAATTCGCTTCTCTCACTTACCAGGAGAGCCATGGGGGGTCAACGCCAGCATGATTGGAATTTCTTTTAATCATGAACATTCCATTTTTCTGCCTTTGATATCTTCACTATTAGAACCTTCGTAATTTTTCTGCATTTGAGTGCAGTGAATTCAATTTGCGTATTTTTAACGATCCCCCCCCCTTTTCCCAAAAAGTCCTTCAGGCGGCTCCCACACTTCCCTGGAGGTGCTTTCAGGAGCAAGTGGCTAGGGAACAGCTGTGATGCATTACTCTGGGGGTTGTGTGGCTTCGTTTTCCCAGTTCAGTGTAGGGTGTTGCTTGGTTCCATGTGGGCTCTGCCCGGACGGCACTGTAACGTCTTGATGGCTTATCTCTTGGACATCTGTGCCTTCTCGCTGCTTTGCTGGACCACCGTTGAGGAGAAGGCAGGCAATTTGTGGTTCCCGGTGAAAATACAGTTCTGGGTTGGAGCTGACCCTGGCTTTTGCCCACTCCCGCTGTTCCCATGGCCTAAGACTGTCTATTACGAGGACAAAATAGAGGGATGGAAGACTTTTCGAAGGGATGGATGGCTTATGTGTTATTATTGTCCAGGTATGGCGAGGCCAATCCTTTCCTGGATGGAAAAGGAGGACAAAAGTCACTGACAAGCGTTTGTTGCACTCAATCCCTAAGAGGGCCAGGCTGCGGGGTCCACACAGGGAAGCACGAGGGTCAGTCTGGAGGCAGAACATGAGCAACATGTTTGATTTGGTTTTCAAGGGAAGGAATGGGTGAGGCAGGGATAGCAAGCTTGGGATTGGCTAGTGTGAAAAATGTCAGCAGGCTCTGGGGTTGGGGGGCTGTCCTCTTTGTCTGGCCCTGGTGCCATGAAGGCAGGTGTGAGAACCGGCTTTAGATGGGCTAGTTTGCATACGAAAGGTGTTCTAGAAGGCCAGTCATCCACTATCTCTAGGAATTGGCTACCTGGGAAGGGCAGTCTCTCCAGGGTGAGCAAGACCCCAGATGTCACAACATCAGAAATAGAGAAAACAGAACGGCCTGATTAATAGAGCTTACTCCCCCATGGCTGCTAACGACTTATCCAAGGGAACTTTCTGGTTATTTCCGTCCACCAGCATCAGCAGTCCCTCAACAAGTAAACCCATCTCCAACCTTAGTGAAGGGCAGAGAAAAGCAGAGGAATGGGGCAAAAAAAGGGGGAAAAGGGGCTTTTTAACCTCCAGATCATTGAATCTGATTCACAGAGTTCTCACTGACAACACAGAGCTTGTGGTCTGGGTTTAGAACTAAGATGCAGTTTGGGTGTTTTCCTTCTAAAAAGCGGCTCAGGATAATACAGTTTTGTGTGGGGATTCCCTCCGTACGGCGTCCCCAGTGCCGACCAGAGCCCTAAACATCAGATGAGTCTGGAAATGTCGTTGTGGCCTTGGGTATTTGAGGAGAGCATGGCAGGCAGGGTACGACGTATAGTGGGGAGAACTGGGGTTTCAGAGAGAGTCTTGGGTTCAAATCTTGGCTTGTGCCATTTACTTGTGACTCCCAGTGGCAGCCTTGCTTCTTCTTGTGTTACAGGCGTTTGTCCGGCCGGTGGGATGGGTGACCGCGCATCCTGGTGTGCGCGGGATGGTGCCATTTCATGTCTGTTGTCCTCATACCCATCGAGTTAGTCATTTGTCCTGGACAGTTTCCCCCACTTAGAGAAGAAAATAACGGTGCTGCTCTTTATGAAGAGATTTCTCTGGACCTCAAAAGCTTTGCCCAAGTAAAGCAGATTCCGTGTTCCCTGTGGGCTATTGCAAATTCAGCATCATGCACACCTGGTTTGAATGCTGGGTTCTCGTCTTACCAGCTATGTGATCAGGTGACTTTAAAAAAAAATTTTTTTTTTTAAGATTTTATTTATTTGATAGAGAGAGAGTGAGAGTGAGCGTGCGAGTGGGAGGGAGAGGGGCAGAATTGGAGGGAGATGAACAAGCAGATTCCTCACTAACATAGAATCTTGATCCCACGATGAGAGATCATGACCTGAGCAGAAACCAAGAGTTGGAAGTCTAACAGACCGGGCCACCCAGGCATCCCGGGTCACGTGACTTTAAGTTCTGGAAGCCACTGATCTACCGCATGGGGACACAGAGGGCTGTCTTGAGGATCCCTCCCCCACCCCCGTTAATCTGCATCCAGGCCCGGAAGCTCAGTATGTGCGTGACCAACACTGGTTTCCTTCCTCCCTCTTCCCTCAGCCTGATGCCAGGGTATACAAATTTCATAGCATTCTTTAGAACACCTTTCTACCAAAACAAAGCAGAAACCTGCCCAAGAAGTTTCAAAAGCTAAGACAAGCTTAAGAGCATGATTATTTAAGACATCTTTTAAAAGCATCTTAACATTTTCCGGGAACTCATTGTACATTTTGGTCCTCATTTTAAAAAGAAATGCAATCCCTTGGATTGTTCTCAGCTTTAATGTGACTTATCTGGCTTGGGACAACTGCCCAAGACCCATTAGAAGAGCTGATGGCTGGAGCCCAGTGCAAAATGTTGTCTCTAAAATGTTACTTATGGCCTTCTCTCCTAAGGAGTGGTCAGGAGGAGATGGGACAGAAGGGAGTTCTGAAGCATCTGAGAGCTTTAGAAGGGACACTAGATCATCTTGTCCATTGTTTTTTAAAAACTGTTCTTTCAAATTTTCCTAAGTCACAATTTTTTTCCCCCAAAGAAACATTTCTTAGAAGCCCAGTTTAAAAAGCTGATAAAAGGGGGACCCCCGATTGGAGTGTAAGGAGTGGTTGGGAGATCTCTTCGGAGGCCCCTGGGAACCCCTCTGCTCTGGACTGAGAACCAACAACCATGTCCAACCTTCTTACTTTCCCAAGCAGGAGGTGCAGGGAAAGGGGCGGGCTGCTTACAATCACGGCACGTTTGGAGCTGAAACTCAACTGAAGAGACTCTCCAGGGAAACTAGAGCTGCAACATGGAGCTCAAAGGGAAGAACCCTTGGAAAGGGTTCTGATTCGAAGGCAGCTCCAAGACAGGCTGAGGAGAGTCCGGGTGGGAAGGACTGCAAGCTGGGGAAGAGGCTGGGGAGCGCTGCAGATGCCCCAGGGCCTCTGCAGAGCAGGAGAGAGCATGGACAGCTAAGTGTCCATAATGCACTTTCTCTTTATTCTTAGCAAGCGCCGCAGAGGGCTTAACGCATCCCGGCTGGAAAGGGAGGAGCCTGGGGAATGGGCACGATCCTAAGAAGCAGTGTTCCGTGTAGGCAGCATTACACACGGTCTTTTAACCACATTAGAAAGAACACAAGGCATGGATGGGAGAAGCATGGAGGAGGCCAGTCTGACTTACTTTACCAACAATTAATAACAACAACAATAATAAACAGGGGCGCCTGGCGGGCTCAATCTGAAGAGCATGTGACTCTTATCTTGGGGTCGTGAGTTCGGGCCCCACGTTGGGTGTAGAGATTACTGAAAAAAATAAACTTAAAAAACTTCTTTTTTAATAATAAACAATACACTGTTTTGTTTAAAGCAGCAAGAAAAAGATCTCCCAAATTTAGGACCCACCCTTCTCTGGCCAGCAGTGGTCAGAATCGTTGGCAGGAGGAGAAGCCATTGTGTCATTTAAAGAAAATATTCCCTTATGTCTCAATCTGCACCGTGTGTTTGGCTGCTGGCCTCCCAGTAAGCGCGACCTGTCTTGTCCTCTTGTTGAGTGAAGGCAGAGGGTATGCGACTATTTTGAAGGCAGTTATTTACAGTCTTGTAAAACAAAACAGGAACTGTCATGACTTATTTGTTTTGATACCACTTTACCTGGTAGAATGATCCTTAAGACAGAAGTATGTCCTATTTCTCCTGGGAGCCAGCGATAGGAAGATGTCTGGAAACGCATCACCTGTCCCTCAGTACCCATGATCTTCCAGCAGTGGTGAGTGCGAAAACTTCAGCTTACAAAGTGTGGGCAATAACACTGTTACAACATCTAATAACCCATTTTCTCGGCAGACCCAAGACACTGACCGGACAGTTGAATATTTTTCCCATTTGGAATTGCTTGAAAGCTCTTTGAAGGGGAAAAGGGAAAACGCCTAGTTCTACAACTGGAGATTTAGAAAGTTAACTTCACCAAATCAAAGCCCGGGTAAACCATGTGTAGGGGAGCCGACCGGCAGGTGTCCCAGTAGGTCCTGCAAACCCGCGCCCCTCCCAGCCAGCCATTGAGTTTCTGGGGAGATGGCGTGATGGGATTGGCCACCAGAGGGCACCAGAGCCAATACGTTTTCCCTTTATAGTCTCCCCCAAAAAAGCTCATTTTATGTTGCGGGGATTAAAGTGAAACAGCGAAGAAGAGTACGCTGAGTAGATTTCTTCCCAGTCAGTAAGCATCGGATGACATAGGTCTGATGTGAAGAGCACCAAAGGACACTCCTCAGGGTGACCAGCGCCAGTATCTCAGATTTCTACACTTGAAAGAAAGAAGCAGCCACAGGATGCATGGCAATGCCCAGTGTCCCTGACATGGAAACCAAATTCAGGAGACAGAATGACAAATGGCTTCTTCCCTGCAGAAGGGCAAACATGAGGTGATGGGCACCCAAATGTCAAGGCAGGAGCCTGGGAAGGACAATTGCCCTGAGAAAGCAGGCTCTGCCACTGTTGGGGTGTGCAGCTCTCGTCCTACAAGCCCTGAAAAAGAGGACAGATTAAACCAGACTCCCACATTTAGTCAAGCTAAGCTCCAGAAAAAAAGGCTCTATCCTCACTGCCAAGAGCAGCCCACGGCGGAGCCTCGTGTGCCCACAGGCAGGCGCAAGTCTGAGACCCCACCGTACCTGGAGGGAAAGGGCAACACAAGCTA